GAAACTCATGCCAGGGCCTTGTACAGCCCCCCAAGCTGACAGGGCGGCTCCTCTCAAAGCGGAGATTCTCCGAACGCACCCCTTGACCGAGAGGCAAAAACCCCATGAAACTTTTCCGGAAAGAGAAACCGCCCTAGACGCTCCCGCTGTTTGGTCTCGACTCTCGACCCCTATAAAGCCTTGCAAGCTTCTTGAATCCGAAGCACTTATACCCTTATCGCGCAGACTTCGCAGACCTGAGAGTCTAGTCCCCAACCTGCTCGCGCACCCGTGAGGCATGCGGCCAAGAACAACGATGCAACATTTCCAACTACAAGCGTCCTTGGCTGCAGATGCTGCATCCATGGACAGTTTGTCGTCCACCTGACCAACCCGCCATTTGCTAGTGGCATGGCAGCATGACATCACGAAAACCAGCTGCAAGCTCAACAAATTACATATGCTACTGTCTCGCATTGCCTAGCTACAAAGTGCAGTATGCCCTGCTGGCCGCGCCACCAAAACCAACATCAAAAACATCTGGAATCTAGAATCTAGAAAGAATCTAATATATTCGGGGCCTGAATAATTTGAATGGGGTTCTGGGGGTTCTTGGAGTATAATTGCACACCCTAAACCCTAAACCCTCAGGGAATAATGTTCGTAATCCTTCCGACCCCTAGAGTGCGGCAGGCCCTAGCCTGCAGTGCTTCCTCTTTGCGTCCAACACTACCCAAAGGGGAGCACTTCAATACCCTAAACCCTAAACCCTAAACCCTAAACCCTCAACCCTAAACCCTAAACCCTAAACCCTCAATGTTAAAACCTGAGCCAGCCTGCGGGTGCTTCCGGCCATTGGGCCCCACCCAGCGCCACTGCAGATCTCCATCCGTGGGCCAATTGCAGGTACCTTGCGCAAGCGCGGCGAACGCCGGTGCGTTGCATGCTGGGGTTTAGGGTTTAGGGTTTGGGGTTTAGGGTTAAGGGTTTAGGATTTAGGGTTTAGGGTGCAGCGTTTTAAGTCAGATCTTGGGAATGTGGAAGGACGGAGCCGCAGGCCCCATGCTGTGCAGCTTATAGCATTCTTATCTGCACTCTAGAGGTCAAGGGGTGACGTTTCATTGCTTTATGGGAGAACCAGTGTTACCATGTAGAAAAGAGTTTGCCCGCAGTGGTCAAGAATGCACCGCGGCAGAAGCCGCTGAGACGTAATTGTCCATCTCATGCTGTCCGATGTGAAAATGCCTGTGGGCTTCGAGACGCTGATTCCCTGGCTAACAGTTACTTCTTGGTGAGAAACAAACCCTGGTAGTTGTGGGAACCAGCTCAGTGGTCGGTTAGTGAACAGAGCATGGTTGAGAGCTCTCGGTTACTGGCCGTTGTTGACGTACAAAGGAACCACAATTTAGGAACCGGCCGCCTTCCCAGGGGATTCGGGGCATGGGCCGGCCTCTTTGACCTTGTTGACTCTTGGCTTTTGCTTGCAAAGCTTCCACCAGCTTTTCCCCTTGCACTTACTTCATCATGCCTCGCAAACCGTCTTGCAGCCGGAGCTACGCCAGTACATGAAATGCCGTTCCACTTCCCACACTTCGACGAGCCTGAGAACTGTCTGGGGTTTAGGGGTTAGGGGTTAGGGTTTAGGGTTTAGGGTTTAGGGTTTAGGGTTTAGGGTTTAGGGTTTGGGGTTTAGGGTTTAGGGTTTGGGGTTTGGGGTTTAGGGTTTAGATCGAAAAGGGCAGCGTGAGCTTCGGCGAAGCATCTGTGGCTGCATGGAAAGCCCTCGGTGATGCTCAGCAACAGCCATATTTGCACTGGGACAAGTAGCTACAGGGAGACTTTGCTATGATCATTACACGAGCAGGGTTTAGGGTTTAGGGTTTAGGGTTTATAGGTTTTAAGCTCATGAGGCCAACGATGGCAGGTGCTTCCAAGGTCGGGAAGGCTACCGGACGACACGTGCCAGCACCGCTGCCTCGTCCGAGCAGCACCCCTGTCACGCATGGTGGCCTGGCACAGCAACGGGTGAGGCAACCGTAAACCCTAAACCGTAAACCCTAAACCTTCAAACCCTCAAACCCTAAAACCCTAAAACCCCAGTTGAGCCGTTTTTGCAAAGCTCAAGCACAGTCTCTGGGCTGCCAAAGCTCATGACATGTTGCCATCCCTAAATAGGCGCCATAATCGCTTAGGGTTTAGGGTTTAGGGTTTTAGGGTTTAGGGTTTAGGGTTTAGGGTTAGGGTTTAGGGTTTAGGGTTGAGGGTTTAGGGTTTAGGGGGTTATTATCCCAGACCCCTGGGAGGATCCAAAAAGTAGAACCCCTAAATGGTACCCTATACTGCTCTTGGGTCATTTTTAGGAACCCTTAAGGGGATCTACTTTTTGGATCCTCTCGGGGGGTCTGGGATAGTATAATTACGTAGGGGCCACCAGGGAATACTATTCGTAATTCTTCCGACCCCTATAGTAGACCCCAAAACTCTTCGTCGCAGGCTTGCTTGGAGGTTCGTGGTACTTAATAACCCAATACTAACTGTACTTCTAACTGTACTTATAACCATATCAGGGCACTTCAGGAGCTTAGAAGTGGGTTACAAGTGCAGTTATACTTGGTTCTTAAGTACCATGAACCTCCAAGTAGGCCACTTTTGCCCTAAACCCTAAACCCTAAACCCCAAACCCCAAACCCTAAACCCTAAACCCTAAACCCTAATAGCAGACGGCGGCCTCTGATGGCAACATCTTGAGCCCCGTCTCCGCCGCGAGCTTCATGTCGCGCACACGCGCGGAATCTGAGTCTCAGACAGTTTCTCAGACCCCTGGGAGGGTTTAGGGTTTAGGGTTTAGGGTTTAGGGTTTAGGGTTTAGGGTTTAGGGTTTAGGGTTTAGGGTTTAGGGTTTAGGGTTTAGGGTTTAGGGGATCCAAAAAGTAGAGCCCCTAAATAGTACCCTATACTACGAATATTGGGTCATTGTTAGGGAACCCTTCAGGGGATCCACTTTTTGGAAGGGGTCTGGGTTTGAATCTTGCCGATCGCAGTCATGCCATGCAGCCAGACTTCAGACTGCAGGATTGAACTCAGTGCAGGACGCTCATCACTCTGCCGTACAGCTCGCAGTTGTGACCACGTGCGATGCGCCTGAAAAGGCATCACAGCTTGCCGGTCACTGCCATCACATCCCCAGACCCCTGGGAGGATCCAACAAGTAGAGCCTCTAAATAGTACCCTATACTATTGTGTCATTTTTAGGAACCCTTAAGGGGATCTACTTGTTGGATCCTCCCGGGGGTCTGGCTAATGGCGGCCCAGAGTTTCTTCAACACCGAAATCTTGATGGACCTCGAACCTCTAGAATTCCGACCCCCCTTCTGTGAGCACGAAAAGCGCTACAATGCCCCAAACCACCCTTACAGCCCCACAAAGCCCTGTACACCCTACAAACCTTCCACATTCTTAGAAAGGGGTGGGGCCTCTAGACGCCCCTTCGCCGCAGCGGTCTCCAGTCCGTTCAGAAGTGCCTCCAGGGCCGCGTCGCTGAGGTTGGCCTGGATTACAGAGCTTACTTGGAGGCTCAGGGTCCTTATTAACCCATAGTAACTGTACTTATAGACCCACTTGTAAGCCCCTTAAGTGCCCTAATATGGTTATAAGTACACTTCTAAGTACAGTCATGATTGGTGAAGTAAGCACCATGAACCTCCAAGTACATAGAGGGTTTATAGAGTTTATCAGATCTAGGGCTTCAGAGAGCTTAGGGATTTGATTCTTTTATGGTTTTTTATATCGCAACTGAGACTCTTTAGCAGATTAGGACCACTTGACTGCTTCCTTTCGGAGGGTCTTGTGGCAAGAGCTGCTTGAAAAGGGGGAGGGTGCCTGTTGGGTTCTTTGCTTCCAGAGACATCTCTTCATGGCCTCTCAGGCACCCGAAACTCTAAACCCGAACCCATCCCGAACCCCTACACCCTAACCCCCGACCCCTATACCATAAAACCTAAACCGTTATGGGATGCTTTTGGTCCTCTGTGGCCCTCAACCCTTGAGATCATTCGGGGACGGGTCGTTCTTTCGACTCAACTTGGAGGTTCATGGGTGGTTACAAACTGAGGCTAGAAGTTGTGAAGTAGGGTAGCTGTAGAGCCTATGCTATCTTTCTTAAAATATGGCTGGCTAACCTGGGGTTTTTGGGGGGGAAACATAGGTCCTTGTCCAGATCCACGCTGAAGTCTCCTTCAGACGATTCCAGCTTCAGCGCCTTGCCTGCAAGGCTGCCAAGGAGAACTTACTGTTCAATTAGAAACCGTGTGGTTCTCCTGGAGGATTTCATGGTTACAGCAAGGGCTTAGTTGCTGAGTTCAAAAGCCCCCCAAAAAAGTGTACACTTTCAGTTCTATAGGGGATCATCGTATCCCAAAAAGTGTAAAGTGTGGGTGTGTGTGTGCTCACTCAGCTACTAAGAGGGCTTCCATGCTACTGACCTGGACTCCCAACTGAAACGTCATGAAAACTCGCGCCTCCCAGTGAAGCCTTGCGCAATTGCGAGAAGCGAAGTCCCCGCAGGGTAGCTGCCTGCACCACCACGGGACAGGGGAAATCCTCACACACAGAAGCCCCGAACCCTAAACCCTGAACCCTGAACCCCAAATCCTAGACCCTAAACCCGAAACCGTGTCAACTCGACACACTACTTGAGCCCTGACACACTGTAAAGCCTAAACCCTAAACCCTAAACCCTAAACCCTAAACCCAAAAACCCAAAAACCCTAAACCCAAAAACCCTAAACCCTAAACCCTGAACCCTGATGCCTTTTGGGACTCGGACTTCTTCAGCGGTCCGAAGATCCTTTCGAACTTGTTGGGCACGGCATTCGCGGCCTATGACAGGATCAAGGGTTTAGGGTTTAGGGTTCAGGTTTCAGGGTTCAGGGTTTAGGGCTTAGGGTTCAGGGTTTAGGGTTTAGAGGTTAGGGTTTAGGGTTTAGGGTTTAAGGTTACTGTGAGTATTCATTTATTGAGCTTCATGGAAATGATGCCACAGAGCTGATGCGGGCCTGATTGGAAGCCACTGCCACTGCAAGCTGATCCACAAACAGCAGCATAGCGGTGATCAAGAGGTCTCCACCTCCACATAAGAGTCGCAGCGTTGCATCGTCCCAAACAGGGGAACCCCGGCTGCACTGTGAGCAGTAGGGTGGATGTGTGGCCCGGGGAGGTCTAGGGTTTAGGGTTTAGGGTTTAACCCTAAAACCCTAAACCCTAAACCCTAAACCCTTATAGGCTGGACACCACGGGACCTTTCTCTTCTCTGTCAAGGACCACGGCTTCGCAAACGCCGCGGATGTTCTCCCCATACCTCGACATCCACACACCGTCAGTGAACACAGGTGTCGTCGCATTGCTGTGTATACCGTTCTCATTCACACATCTCGCACATCTGCCCCTAAACCCTAAACCCCCCCCACCCCCAAACATTCGCCGCCCTTTCTTTCGGAGGAGCCTGTGATAGAGTTGAGCCTCAAAGTCCACGAAAGGGCGAACCTCTCCCAACTCTCCTGAGTCGCTCTTGGCTGTGAAGACTATCGCAGGGTTTAGGGTTTAGGGTTTAGGGTTTAGGGTTTGGGGTTTAGGGGTCAGGAAATAATGGGATGGGCACTTCACGTACCCCTTGGCCTTTTGCCGACACAGCATAGCCTTTTATTCTTGTGCATGCCATTGGTACACTCTAAACTTCCCCGAGGCCTCGTCTAGGATTTAGGGTTGAGGGTTTAAGTTTAGGGTTAGGGGCGCCGTAGGTCTGGGTACTACCCACCCCCCAATCCTTCCTGGCCACGTGATGAAGTTTGCGGCACAGGGTCTTTAAAGTGAATACTGTAATGGCCCCTTTGATTCTTTAGTTTTATTCTCGTATTCTACGGGCGTGAACAAGGACATGATTATGACGCCCGCATTGACATCCTAATAAGACGAGAATACTAAAGCTCCTATAAAATCAATACCATAAGGGGCCCTTTGTCGCATGAATTTGATCGTGAATTCTAATCTTTGCAAAATCAGTATTAAACAAATTTAGGGCCTGTCGTCCGGACTACGTAGCGTTGGTTTCATACAGCATCTTCTTCGCCCCGGTTCTTAGTAGGGAATGAGGGAATGAGGGCCCTATATACTCCCTGAAAGGGTATATATAGGGCCCTCATTCCCTCATCCCCTACTAAGAACCAGCCTTCTTCCAGTGCAGCTGTGACTCCGAAGAGCAGCCGCGGCAACCGCAAGCGCCGGCGAGCCCGTCGGCGCTGGTTCGCTTCGTTGTCGTTCAGAGTGTTGGTCGTTGAGGCAAGGCCAGTTCCGACCTACATCCAAGGAAGGAAACTTGGTAGCCCAGAAACCATATTCTGATAAGGACACCCTTCTTTGGGTTGGTTATTTTATAAGGGAACCTTGAACCCCCAAAAAAGGGAAAAGGGTACCACTGGGCTACCAAGACATCCAAGGAAGGAAACATGTAGCTGCTAGTGGTCCATGCTGGGCCTACTTACGCTTGGTTGAGAGCCTTTCTTGCACCCCCTGTCAAGAACAGCAGCACTCCGCTTGATTGCCCAAACATCTCAAAACCCCCGTCAAACCCCTTAAAACCTCCGTCAAACCCCTTAAAACCCCTTAAAACCCCCTAACCCCAAAACCCCTTGCAGGTCGGGCACTGGGCTACATCTCATGGCCTAGCTCCTGGCTTCCATCAAGGCGTGGATGAGCTTACCGGCGGCCGCTGTCGCCCCTAAACCCGAAATCCTAAACCGTGTTGTCTTCGTGGAGTTGAGGGCTGAGCCCAGGTAGCCTCTTTTTTGAGCATTGTCACGGCGAGGTGAAGTGTGCTTGTGAGAAGGGGGGGGGAACTCGACACCCGAAAGTTTCAGTTGAAGGGTTCAGGGTTTAGGGTTATAGGGATCACCGGCGAGGTGCTAAGCTGACACAGGCACTTCTTTTGGCGCTGTGCTAGTTATCATGTCCACGCCTCACCGATAGCTGTGCCGATGGCGGCAACAGGCTTCACGATGCTTCCGGCGACTCCTTTGGTCAAGCCTGCCCATGTTAGGCATGTTCAGACTCAACGAACCTAACAGGCAAGCAAGAGACACCCTAACAGCTTCCGACGGCCGCATCGATGACAGAGGTAAGCACACCGTGTGCAACTGCGCACTGAGCTGGAACAACGGACTCATGCTGATTCGCGTTCCCAGACCCCTGGGAGGATCCAAAACGTAGAACCCCTAAATAGTACGCTATACTACTGTTGGGTCATTTTTAGGAACCCTTAAGGGGATCTACTTTTTGGATCCTCCTGGGATCTCCCAGGGATCTGGGTTCTTGTGTGGCCCGGTCCTGTTGCAAAGCCCCATAGTCCTTCTTTCTTTGCGCCCTCCACGGGCTTTGTCACCACGTCGAACATTCCTTCGACTCCTGGCACCATTGTGTGATGATTAACTCTTGGACACATGGAGTGATCCCAGACTCCGTCGCAAGTAAACCTGACCCCCAGTTTAAAGCCTAAACCCTAAACTCTAAACCCTCAACCCTCAACCAGGCGGGGCCACCGTCCATTAGGGTCTTGCCGGCTGCTGCAAAACCCTGGTTGGCGCCCGTGATGTTCTTCCTGTCTCCTTTACAGAGGATCTGTTTACACAGTGTTTACACAAAGGATGCTGGCTGAGACGTGTCTCAAACTCCCCGAAGGGCCAAGGTTCGGTTTTTGGCGATGTACTCGTCATCCATGGTGAAGTTCCTGCCCAGTGAGAAACAGCACATAACAACTTCTGAAGGGAGCGAAATGGGGGTTTACGAAAATAGGGGAACCCCTAAAATAAACCACCCTTCTAGCAGGACTCCCTTATAATAAGGTGCCCCTAAACCCTAAACCCGAAACCCTAAACCCTACCTTTTTTTCGGACACCCCCCCAAACATGCCGAAGGCAGCTGCGGAGCCTGAGGAGCGACGCCGCTCCAGTCGTCACATCAGTGAGCTTGTCTCCTCGGATGCCCCCTAACACTATTGGTTGAGGGTTTAGGGTTTAGGGGTTTAGGGCAACCCTCTGAAAAATATTCTCTGAGTTGGATGACCCTGTAAAAGGGGTTTTAGGGTTTAGGGTTCAGGGGTTCAGGGGTTCAGGGGTTCAGGGGTTTAGGGGTTTAGGGGTTTAGGGGTTTAGGGGTTTAGGGGTTTAGGGGTTTAGGGGTGTAGGGGTGTAGGGGTTTAGGATTTTCCCTTATTAAGGGTAATATAGGGGTTATTGATTTTTATTCTTTTGGGGGTTCTTAAGCAAATGGTAGAAAACCCCTCTGACAAATATTCTTTGAATAGGATGACCCTTCAAAAGGGGATTTAGGGTTCAGGGTTGAGGGGAACCCTCTGAAAAACATCTTTGAATAGGATGACCCTTTAAAAGGGGCTTTAGGGTTTAGGGTCTAGTTAGGGTTTAGGGTTTAGGGGTTTAGGGGTTTAGGGGTTTAGGGGTCTAGGGGTTTAGGGGTTTAGGGGTTTAGGGGTTTAGGGGTTTAGGGGTTTCGGGGTTTAGGGGTTTGGGGGTTTAGGGTTTAGGGCTTAGGGTTTAGGATTCTTCCTTTGTAAGGGGAATATAGGGATTTCTTGTTTTTTCTTTTGCGGATCTTAAGCAAATAGTAGTAAGCCCCTCTGAAAAATATTCTTTGAATAGGATGACCCTTTCAAATGGGTTTAGGGTTTAGGGTAACAATCTGAAACATATTCTTTCAATAGGATGACCCTTTAAAAGGGGTTTTAGGGTTTAGGGTTACCCTCTGAAAAATGTTCTTGAACATCATCCTCTTGCACCCATAAAGGGAAAGCATTAAAAAAAAAACGTCCCAAGGGCTGCCCGAGTCTCCCATGACCGCCACAACCGCACCTCCCAGCTTCAGTGGAGCCTTTGGTAGATTCAGCAGCGAGCTTTTGCCTGCCAAGCACGAGGAGGCAAGGAGAGTGTGGTGTGGTGACGACACCCTGTTCGTGCACATGTGCACATGACGGCGCGCAGAAGAATCATGCGATGTCATGTGCACAAGGGCGCAGTGTCATCCCACCTTAAACTCTAAACCTAAACCCTAACCGCACCTAGAAGTGATCCCAGATGGGCCAAGATCGACGTTCCATAGTCGCTTACGATTGCCACGGCGTAGTCCTGCCATCAGGAACAGTGCTTCAACCACGCATTTGTCGGATTACTGCTACCCTAAACGCTAAACACAGATTCCCTTCCGGTCAAAAGCTCAAAGGCCAGCCCACAGGCAGGTGCGCTAAGCTAGGCGCTGCAAGTTTCCGTTTCTGTTACCTGGTCGGTTCTCAAGTGGATGCTTCGGAAGTGTCCGCAAGGATGCATGCAGAAACCCTAAACCCTAAACCCGAAACCCTAAACCCTAAACCGTTCGCGAGGTCCCCTTCAGGGGAACGAGGCCTGCAAGGATCCCCGGTGAGGTTCGAGATGTCGAGCAGGGAGGAGTAGGCCCACCTCACGTATCATTACTCATGGCCGCACTATAGGCGCCTTAATAATTAGAATAGGGTTTTGGGGGGGTCATGAAAGTAAAGTTATGTAGGGACCCTAAGGGAATAAATATTCGTAATTACTCCGACCTGCAAAGGTATCAGGCACTGCAGGTCATGTCTCAACCGACACACCCAAGCAACTCTTTGAACCCTGAAAGTCGAGGCCGAGCGGCCCCATCCAGTGTGAAGTAGCTGCTGAAGGAGAGGACTTTCAGCGCCTGAAGGGCGCGGACTGCGGGGTTTACAGCAGGGGCCTTGAATTTTTTGCACACGAGACTTCAGAATTTTTTTGCAGGGGCTTTCCGTACACCTGCTCAGCACATCTGCGTAAATTTTGCAAGGAAAATGGGTCCGAGTGGCAGTGCGGACATACTGTGGCAGGAACTCCAGGTACTTTAGCCGAAGGGAGCACCACACCTAGGCGTGTCGGCGCTGTTTGTGCGGAGAGATTCGGGCAAATGCATTGAACAATGCAGGACTGCCGGAAGCCCATGCACTTAAACAGCAGCCTGTATAAGAAATTAGAATATCATAACACAACTTGAAATGTACAAACAGAGTAGCATTCTTACCTATCCATAGAATGATTCAGGCGCAATTTCTAGCACGAGATTGCATTCCGTGCAGCTGGGCCACGGTCGTGTCCACTGCTGAGATGTTTACATCTTCTGCTTGTACGACTGCGGGAACGTCGGGCGCGACATAGCCATCCTCATTGGTGTAGCTTCGAGGACGCAGAATGTACCAATTGTGGTCCACAGGCGAGCCGTGAATCTCATAAACCAAAAAACGAAAGAGAAATAAGAGAAAGAGAAAGATAGAGAGAGAGAGAGAGAGAGAGAGACAAAGAGAGAGAGAGAGAGGCAGAGAGGGAGAGAGCAAGAGAGCTGGGGAGACGGAGAGACGGACACACAGAGGGACAGAGGGGGGAGGGGGAGAGAAAAGGAAAGCGATATTATAACGAAGATCCTGAAAACCTTTTGAAAAATACTCCTGAACATGATCCTCTTAAGACCAATAAGGGAAGAAAAAACAAAAAACAACAAAGGGCCCACCAAGTGAAGAGAGGAGGAGTCCAAGGAGCAGGCGGGAGAAGTGCAAATTCCGAGAGTCGCAAAGTGTACAACCATAACCCCTAAAAGACCTAAACGGGTTTAGGGTTTAGGGTTTACGGTAACCCTTTACCCTTAACCCTAAATCGAATTCTAGGCCGAAACGTTATTGCGTATGCTCTTTCACAGCCACCAAGGAAGGGCATGAAGAGACTTGGGTCGCAGATCACCGACATCAAGGGGGGGAGGGGAAGCGCTAAACCCTAAACCCTAAACCCTAAACTCTAAACCCTAAACCCTAAACCCTAAACCCTAAACTCTACACCCCAAACCCTCAACCCTAAACCCTACACCCCGAACCCTACACCCTAAACCCAGAAACATCGGGCCGCGCGGCGGTGATCGGCTTCCCGGCCACCTCCAGGAGCTGGTCCGCAGCGACTCCGAAGATGTCGAAGCCCCCTGAGCGCGCGCGAACTTGAGCTGCGGGTTTAGGGTTTAGGGTTTAGGGTCTAGGGGCGGCATGTGCAGCTGGCTTACGATCTAGGACGGCCCTCAAGACCCTCTGACAACTTCTTGCTAAGCATAAGATTCTTAATTCTTAAACCCACTAGGCGAACAGATGAAATATTCCCCAAGGGCCTAGCTGTAGTGACTAAGTGAACGGGAAAGAAAATGATCCTGAATTTGCAGAGGATGACCTGAGCCGAACGTGTGCGAAAGCCAGTGCTGCAGCGGGGTCAGCCACTTCCTTGGAATTGGGGGTCATATACCCTATACTACTGCAATTCCTATTAAGGTATATGAACCATAAACCCTTTTAGGGTTCACTTCGTCCCCATTCAGGTATATGAACCACAAAAATCCTAAACCCTAAGCCCTAAGCCCTAAACCCTAAACCCTAAACCCTAGGCCCTAAACCCTTTTAGGGTTCACTTCGTCCCCAAGGTTCTCGTCCACAGTGAAGTCCAACTTGTCAACATCGAGCTGCGCTGCGCTGAGCAGCAAGTCCCTGCCGCAGCTGTCGAGATGCGGCGGATGCGAGATTAGGGTTTAGGGTTTAGGGTTTTGGGTTTAGGGTTTAGGGTTTAGGGTCCTAAACCCGTTGCTGTCCCTTTTTTGGGTCCTCATAAAACAAGGGCGCCGCGCTACATGTACAGTAGGACCCTTTTTGGGACCAATTCGGAGAACCACCCACGTGCAGAAACGAGAGCTCTGTCATCTGTCACTCCCCAAATCCGAACCTCGAGGAGGTGGCTTGGCGAGTCATCTGGAACTGCAGGAAGGACTTTCCTCCTGAAGAGTTTAGGGTTTCGGGTCTAGGGTTTGGGCCTTAAGGTTTAGGGTTTAGGGCTAGGACTCAGTTCCCGAAGCCCCTGAAGTGTGTAGACCCTAGCGTAGTATTGCGGGAAACCCTAAACCCTAAACCCTAAACCCTAAACCCTAAACCCTAAACCCTAAAGCCGTATCCAGGAAGCACACCCTCCTGCGGAGTGGTTCGCCAAAATGACGGCCGGAAGCTCCTGCTCAGCGCCATCCCTAAGGATCCGTATGCCTATATAGTGTGGGGTTTAGGGTTTAGGGTTTAGGGTTTAGGGTTTAGGGTATAGGGTATAGGGTATAGGGTATAGGGTTTGGGGTTTGGGGTTTGGGGTTTGGCGTTTGGGGTTTAGCCCTAAAGCCACTATCTAGGAACCCCTTGAAGGCCCAAGTATATACTTCATAGGTACATGGATCCTTAGGGTATGGCTCGACGGAAGATGCTGCATTTGGGGTGAGAAACCCTACATATCCAACATCACACCAGGCCTCGCAACCCCCAAGCTCCCCCCCAAAACCCCATAAGCTCTCTAACTCTGAAGCTTAGAATCCTAAACCCTAAAACCACAAAACATTTAAATTCCAATCCCGAACCCAACCTCAAGACTAGAGGGCGCACGACCCGGTCAATTTGTGAGACGCAGAGACTTGAACCCGTTAACCCACTTGACAACGTCACCCACGTTCCAAAATCACTTCTTTCAGCGTTCCAAAAAATTGGCACTTTCCCGCGTTCCAAAATCCACCCCGTTCCCATCTAAACCCTCACAGGCCCAACCCTTAGCTCAAAACCCTAAACCCTTTGGTTTAGGGTTTAGGGTTTTGGGGTTTTCTGTAAGCACCCATGGACCCTCCCGATCGCTGCGACGGCGCACGCGCGCTCCTCGCGACCCCCCGAACTCTCAAGAGGATCCCAAACCCTAAGCCCCTAAAGCCTCTAAAGCCTTTCAAGCCTATAAACCTTCTAAACCAACCCATTTAACCCTATTAACCATATTAACCCTAATTCACCCTAATTTACCCGAACTAACCCTACTAACCCTACAAAGCCTAAGCCCCCCCCAATTCACCCCAATTGACCCTCATTGACTCTACTTAACCCTAATTATCCCTACTAACCCTACAAATCCGAAGCCACCCGGCGCCTTGTTCTGCAATAAGTTCTCTGGCAACTTTTGGAGCTGGCTGGGATCCAGCATGCTGATCTTGTCCTTTATTGCGGTTTAGGGTTTAGGGTTTAGGGTTTAGGGTTTAGGGTTTAGGGTTTAGGATTTAGGGTTTAAGAGGGTGAGAACCCAGCCGTACCACCGTGACTGCCTGGAGCATCGTAATAATGGCCATCCGAAGAGGGGCTCGAGGCTTTTGAATGAATGTAACTTTCTTTGCCTGTAAGGTGGGTTTCGGAGGATTCTAGGGTTTCGGGATTGTCTGGCTTAGGGAGTTCGGGTGTGTTGTTAAGGGCATTTGGGTGGGTTTGAGGGTTGAAACAGGCAAGAGACAGAGAGAGAGAGAGAGGATGGGCACTTGGCCCCTGAACCCTAAACCCTAGACCCTAGACCTTAAACCCTAATCCCTAAAGCCCTAAACCCTAAGCCCTAAACCCTAGACGCCCTAAAACCCTAAGATGCTCTGCGTCTTCAGCGGCCGCGTCGTTTGTCCGCTCAGGCAGCTGGCAGATGCCTTGCACCTACCACATCCCCGGGGCAAACGATGCTCAGATTTCAGGGCTTGGGGTTTAGGGTTTAGGGTTCAGGGTTTAGGGCTTAGGGCTTAGGGTCCAGGGTTCAAAACTTGTTTCTTGTGTCCCGAAGCCTCTGAAACAGACACGGCGATCTTCTCGGAATCTCGCGCGGCATCCTGCAGCAGCGTTCCATAGTCCATCTATAGCCAGTACAGATTTTACATTCCTTTATCTCAAAGTACAGGGGCACATTGTACATGACGTACCATTGTACGCATAATCATTTACAAGATTCATGTAAAAATGTGTGCATGACCTGCCTTTTGTTCGCTGTGCATTGTATACGTATTGCACTATGCGTACACATTCTCTGATCTGTTTGATACTGTATTATATATTTGAACAGTTAAAGTAACATGAATATATTAAATATATAAGATAATATAGCAGATGCAAACGTAACTTGTTATTTTCTATATATTCTATATATGTTTGTATATATACATACATATACATATGAATATATATATATATACATATATACATTGCAAGTTACATAAAGTTGTACTTTGCGTTATCTATGTTGTATGGCTATTTATTGTTGTTCTTTGCATTGTATAGGCACATGTTCTCTTGTACAGTGTTGTGTTAAATGTTTCAAACTATGTATGATCTGTTGTTTCATATGCGTGATATATATATATATATATGTGTATATATATATATAATTATATATACACATATATGTATATATATATATATATGTATTACTTATAATATGTATATATGTATATATGTATATATGTATATATGTATATATGTATATATGTATATGTGTATATGTGTATATATGTATATATGTATATATGTATATATATATATATATATATCACGTAGTGCATATGGGGTTGTTCTGAATTGTTCTTTACGCGAGCGCCACTGCCTTTGTTAAAGTTCCTCTCGCGCTTGGCCCTGCTCTTGTGCGGCCCTAGGTTTAGAAGCACATCCCCGTACTGAAGGCGTTTACGGCGCAGTTGGCACATGGAATCCTCACAATGGAAGTCTACAGAGCAACATGCTGCATAAGGCCAAACTTAAACCCTGCCCCACTTTGCCATGGCTGGGCCACCCTGAGCATGGCTCGCACACGCCTTGCCCGCCAGGCTTGCGCACTCAGTCCGAAAGCGCCCCTCGCGCTTTGTCCTTGTGCGCCCCTTGCGCGCCGCAGGGTTTTCAGGCTGTGAGTCTACTATGAGTCTACATCCAAAAAACCCTAAGCCCTAAACCCTAAACCCTAAATAAGTTCTGGACACTCCAACCTGATGTCAAGAGGTTGGGGTTTTAGAACAACCCCCTATGCAATGTTTTCTGCTGTATGTGGGATGCTTTTTTTTCTGTCATGTGCACTATTCTCACAGCGTCTGAGTTCTCGTGTGCTAGTGAACCCGAACCCCGAGACCCTAAACCCTAAACCCTAAACCCTAAATTCTAAACCCTAAACCCTAAACCCTAAACGTGGGCAGCGCCTGCAGATACTCGAGGCGGAGCATGTCCAGGGAGAAGAAGAAGAGCTCGCAAGGCTTCGGCGGGCTTTCCTTACTGTTGCTTCGCAGGGAATGGGGAACATCAGCCCTCAAAGGATATAGAGCTCCCTACAATAAACAAAATCCCTTAGAGGGTATATCTAGAGAGCCCTATATGAACATAATACCCTGAAAGGCAACATAGGGCCCCCTAAACCCTAAACCCTAAACCCTAAACCCTAAACCCTGAACCCTGAACCCTGAACCCTGAACCCTAAACCCTAAACCCTAAACCCATCCCCTGCTAACCAGCACTAAGTCTCGTCGATCAGCGAGATCCCGGCGCGGCCCAGCTTGACGTGGAGCTCAAAGGATGCCTGAAAGGCCTGCTTAGGGTTTAGGGTTTAGGGTTTAGGGTTTGGGGTTTGGGGTTTAGGGTTTAGGGTTTGGGGTTTAGGGTTTGGGGTTTAGGGTTTAGGGTTTAGGGTTTTGGGTTTTGGGTTTGGGGTTTAGGGTTATAACTGTACTTGTAACCCACTTCTAAGCCCCTTAAGTGCCCTAATGTGGTTATAAGTTAATAAGTACCATGAACCTCCAAGTGGGGGCCGCTGTGGGGTTACGGGTCTAGCACTCCGGGTTTAGGGTTTAGGGCTTAGGGTCCGAAAATTTGCGAAGGGGAGAATAACATCTGCATGTTTGCAGAATCTCATGGAACCCTAAACCCTAAACCCTAAACCCTATACCCTAAACCCTAAACCCTACACCCTAAACCCTACACCCTAAACCTGCCTCGGACTTGGCTTGTACCTGCTGCTTCTCGTGGAGCTCCTCCAGACTCAGCTTCGTGGTCTTCCCGCTGCGCATCACGCGTAGGGCAAGTCCTCAGAGCTCGAAAGGTCCATGTCTAAAGAGTTCGTGTAGCTTAGGTTTAGGGTTTAGGGTTTAGGGTTTAGGGTTTAGGGTTTAGGGTTTAGGGTTTAGGGTTTAGGGTTTAGGGTTTAGGGTTTAGGGTTTAGGGTTTAGGGTTTGGGGTTTGGGGTTTGGGGTTTGGGGTTTGGGGTTTGGGGTTTGGGGTTTGGGGTTCAGGGTTTAGATGGTCGAAGCAGCTTCTCTCCTCGCTTGAGATTAGTCAGGACGAGGATCCCGGCGTCTTCAAGGGCCGAAGGGCAGTTCGCTGAAGATCCGCAATCTCAACCACCTCCTTGTCCACGATGACCCGAACGGCCTCGCTACTGTCATGACATGCGATTCCTATGCACCAGAGTACCCTTAGTTGTCCAGTAACCTGGGGGGATTCAAGGTTGACCTTTGGGATTATAAGGGGACGATACTACCCCAAGAAGGTTAGCATTTACCTACTCTACTACTAGGACCCTTCATCAGCCAGGCATTCAGGGCTATATTACCCCAAAAGGGTTAAAGGTTACCTACTCTACTACTAGGTACCTAAGAAGCCCAGCGCCAAGCAGGTCTGAAGCCGCCCCAAGCCCTCTAAGACGAGACGCTCGCGATCGCTTGCCCGAAAAGGGCATGCACCATCCGATCGGAACGCTCTCTCCACCTGCCGGGTTGCGAAGCAGCCCTAAACCCTAAACCCCCTAAACCCTAAACCCTAAACCCTAAACCCTAAACCCTAAACCCCTAAACCCTCACAAGACGGTTGGGCCACATCTCAGAAAACTGGTGAGGGCCAGCCGGCCTGCTGGCACGATGATCTTCTCCTGTGGTCGTCCTGCTTCCTGCACTTCCATCCTGGCAGGGCTTAGGGTTTAGGGTTTAGGGTTTAGGGTTTAGGGTTTAGGGTTTAGGGTTTAGGGTTTAGGGTTTAGGGTTTAGGGTTTAGGGTTTAGGGTTTAGAAGGTTTTGGGTTTCTAAGGCTTAGGGGGCAATTTGGGATGGCATTTGGGGCCTGTTCTCCAGTAGGTTGCAAGCGATGAAGTCGGAGCCGGGGCGGATCAGGACCCCCATGCTGCCGTAAAGCGGGGCCACGTCGACGCTCCACACCTTGCCATGCAGAAGCGCGAATCCGTGAAGGCAGCTGCCCATACTAAGACCCCAAACAAGTTTAGGGTTTAGGGTTTAGGGTTTAGGGTTTAGGGTTTAGGGGTTTGCAAACTGCCAGGGCCTCGAGACCCCCTCCTTGGCGCTTCAAAGTGAAAGGAGTGGAACCAGCCGACCCGTCGCTGCCTGGAAGCTCCCATCCGTGCGTGCAGAGCCGTTTAGGGTTTAGGGTTAGGGTTTAGGGTTTAGGGTTCAGAGTTTAGGGGTCCCCTCAGTTTATGGGGAACATGGGGCCTACATTTCTAAGGATGTCGGGATGGCACCTGAATATGATGCTCCTTAAAACCCAGTAAGGGAAAATGTCAGATCTCCCAACGGCCTACCTGGGATGTTTGTAAGCATAAACCCTAAACCCTAAACCCTAAACCCTAAACCCTAAACCCTAAACCCCAAACCCAAAGATGTCAAAACGGCGGGGGACCGAGGATGTCTGAGGGACCGAGGATGTCTGAGGCCCGGGCACAAGACAACACCTGAGAACTCGCACTGGCTGGCTCCGAGGGGTCGGAAGCCTCAGCCGCAAGCTGCATACCATGCTATACGTGGTGTATACTAGAGGGTTTAGGGTTTAGGGTTTAGGGTTTAGGGTTTAGGGTTTGGGGTTTGGGGTTTGGGGTTTGGGGTTTAGGGTTTAGGGAGAGCACTACCAAACACTAAAGAGAACAATACACATGTGTGTAGATTGCGTCCGGAGGAGTGCACAATTCAGGCTGCTGGCCTCACTGCCCCATCCGCCCCACTTGAGGGGGAAGCGGGGAATTGCCGGCGGTTGACATTTTTCAAGCGAACAAGAACCCGCACGAGACTTGAATCTTCCGGAAAAGCTAGAAATTTGAAATGCTGGCCTCTTTGGGAACTTCAAATTTGCATGTAGGTTCTGAAGACAGTTTTGTGTTTCTTGGCCCTCTCCCAGGGCGTCCCAGCTGGGGGGCCGAAGGTAGTGGGGGGGGGGGGGGGGGGCAAATGGGGCAAAAGAAGAAAAAGATGCTTTCTTGTGCGCGAACGGGTGCTTATGAGGAGTCAATGATTAGCCGGCCAAAGGGCCCCCAAAAGCCTTGCGTCATCAACGGGGCTCCTGCGTAGGAAATGAACATAGTGAACGCATGGGAGGGGAGGGTGGGGCGGCAAGTGAAGCAAATAAGCCAAGTGGGGCGAGCAGGCCGAGTTGGGCAAGTGAGTGAACCGCAATCTGCTACCGACGCGCTCTATCGAAGTTTTCTTTACAAACATCTACTTCTTTCTTGATGGTAGAAATCCCACCGCCCACTAGTAAAGCCAACCCGCCAAGCCCCAAGCCGCCCCAGACAAGTTTCAAAATAATTGACTTTGGGGGGGGGGGGGCGATTTGAGGGGAGATCTGGGAGAAGAGGAGGGGGGGGGAAGGGGAGAGGAGTAGGGGAGGGGGAGGAATGGAAAGGAGGGGGAGGGGGGAGCAAGGTTCCAAGGGAGAGAGGGTTTGCTTTTCTCGCTGCCGCGCTTCGCGAACGCACGTGCACTGGATCCTGTCTACAACCGCCCGTGCGGCAGGTCCCAGTTTCATACGCGAACCGTGAATGTGCTAAATGCTAAGCTTCGATTGTAGCGACTTACGAAGTGTTTGCACCAAGTATCCTAAGCATCCTATTCAAGTGCTCCATAAACGACTGGGACCTACCTCAAGAAGACTTCCCAAAGGAAATTCTTCTTCCACGAGGGTTGGAAGGTGCTCAGGTCCAGTGCACCAAGGGACCTGTCACAGCAGCGTTGTCGAACAACACACTGCTATCGATCGACTTTATTTTCATTCTAGACCGGCCTTAGAAAGGGGCATAGGACAGGATCCACCGCCCACGGGCCCTCGGCCGTCTCTTTGGAGCCCACCTCCTGTCACAGATCCGTCCGTAACAAGCTCCCACACCGACTCGCCAACTGCCGCGAGGCTCCGGCCCAGCACTGGCCAATGTAGCCGAGGGGATCGTGTAGTCCGGTCCCGTCGCCGGCGTCTTGCACGAGGATGAATTGACCTGCGCGTTTCATTCTCACGTCACAATTGCTGTCATTGCCGCCGAGTAGCCTCGTGGCTGGCCGGGCATGAGCAGGTGGGCTTTTTCTCTGTGCTCGATGTTCACAGGATCCCTAGGAAACAGTTCGCATCGACCTCACATGCGTTTACTTGAAATTTCTGAGCTCACTGCACGGTGCCGGGGTTGAGGCCCCTCAACCGCACCAGAACCTGTGGAGGCGTCGGAATCAAGCCACCACATGACGTTAGATAGATCCGAAATCTCGGGGGCAGGCGTTTTCGGGCAGGCTGTCGGCCCTTCGTACGGTTAGCAGAGAGTTTGACATCGTGCGTCGAAGTCGCTAAAAAGGAAGACGTGCCTCTGGATGACCACGCGTTGCGGCACCGTCGTGGCCAAATTGTAGTCCAGGCACACCTGTGCATGAAAACCGAGTACTGTAACCGCCACACCAAAACCGCGACATGTCAGAGCAGGCCTGCTTCTTGTCCCGACTCGGCACCTGTCATGCCAGCGAGACGCGCTGTCTTCACCAATGCAGTCTCCCCTGCCTGGCCATTGAGCACCTTTGGCGGCAAGGTCGGACAAGCCTGCACCATAGGCTCACAAAGACACAACGCTCCAATTACACCAGACCCAGACCCCACGTCACGGTGCCTCCCGCTTTTTCGGAACGGGCACAGGAGCCTCAGAACGACTCCGACTCTCCTACACACAATGCGGTTGGCAAGCGCCACTGCCGTGGCTCTGGCAGGTTGCGCCTTCGCCTTTGCAACGGTCCGGCCTAGTGAGCAGAAAAGGAGACTGTAGCAATCCCGCATGATTCACTCTACAGCTGAGGTTCTCACGCCCTTGTGGCTGCAATAAAGCCCGTCTAATGCGGTCCTGCTCCGCCCGCTCCGCAGGGCTCTCACCATATTTAGATCCCTGCAAGGGTTTAGGGTTTAGGGTCAGAAAGGGCATTATTCATCTTTCCCTCCCTCAGCCAAGCAGGGTACGGAATGTGGTGGCCAAAGGGTCCACGGCTTCCATAGTGGCCTGGCGCCAGCTCCCCACACAGCCCTTGGGCTCTTGGGCTCTTGGGCTCTTGGGCTAGGGTTTAGGGCTTAGGGCTTAGGGTTAGGGTTTAGGGTTTAGGGTTTAGGGTTCAGGCTTCAGGCTTCAGGCTTCAGGGTTCAGGGTTCAGGGTTCAGGGTTCAGGGTTCAGGGTTCAGGGTTCAGGGTTCAGGGTTCAGGGTTCAGGGTTCAGGGTTCAGGGTTCAGGGTTCAGGGTTTAGGGTTTAGGGTTTAGGGTTTAGGGTTTAGGGTCTAGGGTCCAGGATCTAGGGTTTCGGGTTTAGGGTGTAGTAATTGTGTGAGCCCGCCCCACTTACACCCAAACCTCCCCCTCAAAGCCCATTGCAAGAATGCAGGCTTCGGAAGGAGCGCCAGCCTTCCAGTGCAGCACCCGAGACTCGCGCGGCTTCCATCGTATCTTCCTTCCGAGGGCATCATGCGCCGGAATGTCTTTGCAATCACGGGAAGAGGGAAGGGGGGGAGTCTTGAAGCCTTCCGAAGCCTTCCTGGCCTTGAGGTTGCCGTAGTCAAAGTCCTACACCATGAGTCTAAACTAGGATGTCCCTTAACACCCTCTGAAAAAGATTCTTGAGTATGCTCCTCTTTAAACCCAATGAGGCAGAACACAAAATGTCCCAAGGGCCTACCGAGTCTATACATCTATCTCTTTGTGTTTATATACCCTTGAAGGGACTTTATAGGCTCCCTGGTTCCCTACTAAGAACCAGCCAGTCTAAACCAGAACTGAGGGCTCAGCATCTTATCTACTAGGATCCCTATTAAGGGCTGCTAGAAAAAAGGGGGAACATCCCAAGTTCTATGCCATGGGTCTAAACCCCAACCCTAAACCCTAAACCCTAAACCCTAAACCCTAAACCCTAAACCCTAAACACTAAAGCCTAAACCCTAAACCCTAAACCCTAAACCCTAAACCCTAATGTTGCACCCGCAATATTCTAGGGGGACGCTATTATGAAAAGTTTTCCGGCTATTCAGGATCTGGACCCTTTGTTTTGGGGGTCCGCTATAATGAAAAGATTTCGGGCCGGGCCTGTTTTTTTAAATGGTTTTTGAGTCAAGTTCCCAGATCCCAAACTAAGAAGAGAGCTCATTTCTCTGCCCCCCCCCCACCCCCCCCGACTGTTTGGGGTCTTTTTTTATTCAGGGTCGCGACTGTTGAGGGGGGGGGGGGGGGGGGGGGGGGGTGAGGGGGGGGGGGGGGGAGGGGGGGGGGGGGAGGGGGGGGGGGTAACTTATTAAAGCAGGTCCAACATTAAAACCTAAACCCTAAACCCTAAACCCTAAACCGTAAACCGTAAACCCTAAACCCTAGCTGAGGGCTCGGCATCTTATCAGGAGTCTCGAGCTCGATCTCCAAATCCGAGGCGTTTGTGAGCACCAGGCGCGGGGCCAACGTGAACTGCATACTCGTCGCTCCGTGCACACCTGATCGTCAGCCTAAACCCTAAGCCCTAAGCCCTAAACCCTAAGCCCTAAGCCCTAAACCCTAAACCCTATACCCAAAACCCGAAAGCCTAAACCGAAATGTCGTCAGCTAGTGCGTTCCCATCTCTTCCCGCCCCACCCCCCCCCCCCCCTCCCCAAATCCTAGGCAAAACAGCGCCCCGACCTTTGCTTCTTGATTCGATGCCAAGGGGCTGCTGCTCTTAATGCTCCCAATGCGAAGAGTCATCTCCAGACTCCCGGAGGGCGTGTTCCAAACGAAGCTCTCAAAGCTTGGTGGCATCTTCCTTTGCACAGAGAGGTTTTCATGTGGGGATTGCTTTGCGGTAGGGAGCCCTTTGTTTGCATCTCATTCTGTATTCCCTTCGGTTTAGGGTTTAGGGTTTAGGGTTTAGGGTTTAGGGTTTAGGGTTTGGGGTTTGGGGTTTAGGGTTTAGGGTTTAGGGTTTAGGGTTTAGGGTTTAGGGTTTAGGGTTTAGGGTTTAGGGTTTAGGGTTTAGGGTTTAGGGTTTAGGGTTTAGGGTTTCTTTTCTCTTCTTCCTGTTCTTCGTTGTTTCTTTCTTTCCTTCTTGGGGCTCTCCTCTCTCTCTCTCTCTCTTTCACTCTCGCCCTGTATCTTCCGCTTTTGTTTAGAGTACCCAACAGGGTACGCAATATCCTAAACCCTAAACCCTAAACCCTAGACCCTAGACCCTAAACCCTAAACCCTAAACCCTAAACCCTAAGCCCTAAACCCTAAACCCTAAAAGCTAAACCCTAAACCTAAACCCAGAGCAACCCGACATGGACCCAAGACAGCCCAGGAAAGGGCCGCAAGATCCCGAGCACACACGGAAGTCTGTTCGGGAGACTTGCGGCTAAGCTTAGGTTTGAGGGTTTTAGGGCAAACCCGAAACCCTTTTAGGGTTTAGGGTTTAGGGCTTAGGGTTTAGGGTTTAGGGTTTAGGCAGTCGAAATGAGGAGGTCGGTACACAACTCGTTTGAGCTCAGCCCTGCACATTGTCTGCTTGGCCTTGGCCACCTTCCCATCAGGACCTGGTCACCGAGGCTGAACGAACCCCCTGGTTCTTAGTAGGGAACGAGGGAGGGCCCTATATTTACCCTTTAAGGGATTATATACTAGGGCCCTATATATATATATATATATACCCTTTAAGGGACTACATAGGGCCCTAGTTCCCTCATTCCCTACTAAGAACCAGCCAGCGACTGCTGGTGTCCTTTTGAAGACAGCCACCGAAAATGGGGGCACCCTTCTTGAAGGTCCCTTTCAGGGCCTTCTACTCTATTTGGGGATATAGAAAGGGGTACCCCTATTTCAGGTAATGCCCAAATTGATTCTGGTAGGCAAGCCCAGGATCTTGAGCGCTGTCAACGATGCTGACCCACTTGGATGTTCATGGTACTTATTAACCAACTGTACTTATAGCCATATTAGGGCACTTCAGGGGCTTGTAAGTGGGTTATAAGTACCCCTAAACCTTAAACCCTACACCCTAAACCCTAAACCCTTATAATTTAGGCGATAATTGCAAGTGGGTTATAAGCACAGTTATAACTTGTCAATGAGTACCTTGAACCTCCAAGCACCCGAGCCCCTGGCACAAAACGAGATCACAAGGGTTCTCGAAGCAGTCCGCATGAAGCCTGCGCAGCAGGTTTAGATTTAGGGTTTAGGGTTTAGGGTTTAGGGTTTAGGGTTTAGGGTTTAGGGTTTAAGGTTTAGGGTTTAGGGTTTAGGGGGCGAAGTTGGGGAACCAGTTTGGACCATGGAAGAGCTGAGATGAATCGTAAGGAAGAGGACAAAACCGCAGCAGGCTTTCGTGTTTTCAGATGGGGATCCTCGAAGATAGGGGTACAGGGTTTAGGGTTTAAACCCTAGGGGTACCCCCTACATACCCAAAAACACTACACATCCTTTAACAGAACCCCAAAAAGGGTACCCCCCCCTACTTGCGGAAACCCCCAGATGTCTTCAGCCGAGGAGCAGTGTGATGCCGTCACGTGATGGCAGCCTAGCACCCTGGTAGTAGACCTCAAGCTTGCCAAGGCCCTTGTCCTGCAACTTTCGACGGTGGCAACCACATGCAACCACGTGCAACCACCTAGACTCTGCCTTACTAAGAGGGTTTTTATACAACCCTCCTTGCACAGGGTTGCTATAAAAACCCTCATGCCACATTACCTACTGCACATCTGCAGCTGCAGCAAAGGGGCGTGAGGGAGGCAGATCGCACACGTGATGCATTTGGAGAGCCCTCTCCTGCGCACCGCTGCGATCCATCAGCCAATGGGAGCAGCTGATGCCTGGGTCATGGAGCACGCGGCCCTGATATGTTGACATGCGTCAAAGTGAGATTTTGCCAAGACACGAATCTGGCCATGACCCAAGCACTCCACGGAGATCGCTGCCGGCGCTCCGCTCGTGCTGTCCGTCATCTCGAGCATCTTGGCCTTACAGGACATGTCCTGATGGTAGTGTGTAACGTGTATAAACCCTAAACCATGAACCCTAAACCCCAAACCCTAAACCGTATGTAGTCTTGCAGTCGCACCTCGTCGCCCTGTACATTCTCAGTGACATCTACGATGTCGTTGCCCTCGAGGTTTACCTGGCTGAGGACATTTCCATGCTGAAGTTGAACCCCGGAGCGGCTTCGTGCTCAGAAGGAACCGTGAACTTGCGCAAGGCATCACTACATCCGGGGTTCTTGCTCAGGAGCTACAAAGAAGCTGCCAGAGTAGGGATAGTAGAATTTCTACTGCATACCCTTAGTTGCAAGCCCGACTTTCAAGCTCCTCAACAAGAGCCCTAACCCTAAACCCTAAACCCTAAACCCTAAACCCTAAACCCTAAACCCTAAACCCTAAACCCTAAACCCTAAACCCTAGGAACCCTAGGAACCCCAGCAGGTCACTGCTTCATTTCGGTGCCCTTCGGTTCCCCTTCGCTTCGCTTCGGGCCTTGCCGCTCCAGGGCGCCTTCGGCCCCAGCTGTCCGGCCAAGGTCAGGCCACCACCTTATAGAAGCGCATGTCTGTGCATTTTGTGTGCACACATGTATACATATATATATATGTATATATATATACATGCGTGTGTGCATATACATAAATAAATAAATTTAAAAATAAATAAATAGCAAGCAAATAAATAAATACATATACATATATATATATATATATACAAAATGTATATAGACTCACATATGTTTAGATATATCTCTGCACATTTAGGTAGGTTTTCAAGCGCGGCGGTGGGACCGACCTACAATAATTGTTCCACATCGCTTTCGGTGAGAGAGAGGTTCGGGTTTAGGTATGGGGGCGGGGCGTCCCAGAACGAGAGCCCTGTTGGGTTTGGATTCTACTGCACGGAGGGCCCCTCGTTTTGAAAACTCCCATATCATGAAACATCATGCAATATCAGGAAGTATCATGCTGTCTGGCTGGTCGGGATGGGCATGCGAAAGACTTATCTGCCCGGACAGAAACAAAATGCAACCCATATCAACACACAACATCCACAAACTTTGGGGCGTCGGACAGCTTCACTTTGAAGAGCACCACTTGGTCATGGTAGCCGCGAACCCTGAACCCGGCGAAATCTTTGCCGTCACCAGAGCCCCAAAGCAGTGCTCCACGGCTGCGAAATCTGGCAGCGTGACTTCGCAAACTGGAGACACATCTCCCTAAACCCTAAACCCAACTTAGGGCGCGGACGCATCTCCTGCATGCTGAGGCCGTAGAAGTTCACGCGCTGCAAGGCGCCGACGGCCACCGGCGCGGCTTTCTGCGAGGTGCTGGCGATGTTCAGGCCTTCAGGATGTGCCACTCTTGGTAGGCCAGTAGCCATATTCTGATAAGGGCACCCTTTTTTGGGTTGGTTACTGTATAAGGGAACCTTGAACCAAAAAAAGGGAAAAGGGTACCAGTGGGCTACCAAGGACTTTGAGGCTTACCCACCAGCATGGGCCATTCGGCCTTCTGAACCCCCACAATCAACCCTATAAAGGGCCTTTTAAGGGGTTCTGGGGCATAATAGCCCATCCTTGCAACTACAACATTTCTGCATGTCACTATATGTCACTGTGGGTGCTCTATGAGCACAGTGAGTGCGCGACTACGCCCACTTGGCTTCCTCAGTGCGCATGGTTTTTTCTGAGGGCTCTGCCCAGTGGTCCAAAGGGAAGAGCGTTCCTGAGCTGGCAAGGAAGCTTGGGTTTGCCAGCTGGGGTATTCAAGATGAGTGACGATATATGTAACGACCGCATGCGCCCGTTACAGAGACTGGAGAGCATGCAACAACAACATCCCAAACCCTAAACCCTAAACCCTAAACCCTAAACCCTAAACCCTAAACCCTAAACCCTAAACCCTAAACCCTAAACCCTAAACCCTAAACCCTGGCCAAGTGTCATGAAAACCATGCTGGGGCGGATGGCCAGGGTCTTGATCTGCTGCGTGCCGTGAGTGGAAGCACCTGGTTGACAAAGGCGGGGCGGGGCCAGGGGGGGTTTAGGGGTTAGGGTTTATTTTATGATAGGTTGCACGTATGCACATCTGTTAATACGACATGTTATGGTACAAGATTATGAAACAAGATTGTTTTGTACAACATAATGATATATGACTTTTCGTACTATCCTGTAATGGCAAATAACAGAATGTATAAATAGATAAATAAAAAAACGCATAGAAACATATGATAATACATCTATATATATATACATATATATATATATACATAGTGAAGTTTTATATGTATGCACATACATACATACATACATACATACATACATACATACATACATACATACATACATACATACATACATACATACATATATATATATATATATGTATGTATGTATGTATGTATGTATGTATGTATGTATGTATGTATGTATGTATGTATGTATGTATGTATGTATGTATGTGTGTACGCTAGCATAGTGCCTTGTAGGATCTTCCATGTGCTGCTTCACACCAACTCGCATGAGCTACCATCTGGCTGCCATTAGAATTCACCATCCGGCCTACGGCTTCGCTGTCCTGGACCACCAAAAAGTGAAGGGGTGCTGTGGCTGAGCCAGCGTATCCGCCTTTTGCTGCGCCGGCTCCTGTCCGAATACGCCAGGTGCTCAAACATGCGCAGTACCTGAAGAAGCCTCGCAACCCAACCCTCCTAAACCCTGTAAGGGCAGTTTCTCTATCTTAGGGTCCCTTATATTGGGTCCTTATGAACAGGCTGCGTTGTATAGGGGACCCGGAGAGGGACTTTAGAGAACTACCCACAAAGCCCTCAACCCTAAACCCTAAACCCTAAACCCTTAACCCTAAACCCTCAACCCTAAACCCTCAACCCAGAAGGTCCCTGGCCTGACTTGCAGGAGATGCCGTCCACGGCTTTCCGGCCGACCTCACTCGGTTTGCTGAAGTCCTCTTGGCTCCCAGCTGGTCGAAGGCCTCAGATTGGGTTCTCAAATTCCCCTAAAACCTAAAGCCTAAACCCTAAACCCTGAACCCAAAATCCTAAACCCTAAACATAGCCCTTTTTGGGCTTCTTAGGGCGTCTTAGGGTTTTTTCGGGGTTTTAGGGTTCAGGGTTTTATGGGTGCCCCAGACTTTAGGGGCTCCGCATGTAACATCGCAACCCCCCACAAGGGACCATCATTTAGATTGCTCTCACATAACCCCTCCCCTTGTTCAACCTCTTTCTGCGTCTCGCGCCCCTGTTCTAGCCCTGTGGGGCCTTTGCTTGGGGGCCTTCGCGTTGCGCTTCTGGACATTTCTTTTGGAGTGGCGGCACGCAAACCCTTAATCAAGCTAACACTTAGCCTGGGAGCCAGCGCGTGGGGGTTCTGATATGAACCATGAATCTATAAATAAAGAATATGTTCGAAATGAAAAGAATTGCACTTTCTGGGTAGCAGGTAGCATGTGGGGGGATTGGCGGTTCGGATGTTCAGGGTTTGCCTGCGTCCAACAGTTTTCAGTACAAACTGCTTTGTGCCACTAAAACCCTGACTCCCCTTGCAAGTTGCCTCTGCTAATCGGCCTTGCAGCCGAGCCTCTGATGATCGTCTTTGCGCCACTTGCATCCTGACGTGTGGCTGCCGAAGGCACAGCGCAGATGCTGTTCGGAGGAAGACATACCCACCTCGGCTAGGCACGTTGCGTTGCGCAGAGGGCGGTTGAAGCATGGGCCATGCACTTCCGAAATCCGACTTCCACAATGCATGTCCATGATGCATGTAAAAAACTCTTCTGAGACCTCATGCTCTCACAGACTTGCCGAAACATGCAAAAACACAAAGTAACTACTGAAGAAAAGGTACTGCACCTACCTAAGCCAAGCTCTGGAGACATAAGTGCAGATTTTCGTGAGTGCCGCCAAAAAGGCTCATTGTCCGAGCTCTTGCAACTTGCACTTGTCTCCGTGTCCGCTGGCTCATACCTCAGTAGTTGCATGTTGAGGGAGTCAAGGGACGACCCCAAAACGGGGGTCTACCCTAAACCCTAAACCCTAAACCCTCAACCCTAAACCTCTCTATCATTATGAATTTAAACCCTAATTCAAAAGTGGGCAACGGTGATTTTCGGCCTCAAAAGTGGGCAACGGTGACTTTTTTGGCCTCAAAAGTGGGCAACGGTGACTTTCCTGGCCTCAAAAGTGGGCAACGGTGACTTTCCCGGCCTCAAAAGTGGGCAACGGTGATTTTCCTGGCCTCAAAAGTGGGCAACGGTGACTTTCCTGGCCTCAAAAGTGGGCAACGGTGACTTTCCGGGCCTCAAAAGTGGGCAACGGTGACTTTCCGGGCCTCAAAAGTGGGCAACGGTGACTTTCCTGGCCTCAAAAGTGGGCAACGGTGACTTTCGGCCTCAAAAGTGGGCAACGGTGACTTTCGGCCTCAAAAGTGGGCAACAGTGACTTTCCGGGCCTCAAAAGTGGGCAACGGTGACTTTCCGGGCCTCAAAAGTGGGCAACGGTGACTTTCCGGGCCTCAAAAGTGGGCAACGGTGACTTTCCTGGCCTCAAAAGTGGGCAACGGTGACTTTCGGCCTCAAAAGTGACAACGGTGACTTTCGGCCTCAAAAGTGGGCAACGGTGACTTTCCGGGCCTCAAAAGTGGGCAACGGTGACTTTCCTGCCTCAAAAGTGGGCAACGGTGAATTTCGGCTTCAAAAGTGGGCAATGGTGAATTTACCTTTTCCCTGAGTTTTTTCAAGGTTTTTCAGAGGTTTTCAATGTTTTTCAAGGTTTTTTAATGTTTTTCAGGATGTTTCAGGGCTTTTCACCCTCAATTCTGATGAAGGGCAGCCCCCGCGACCTTTTCACAGCCTAGTTTTGGTCAAGGGGGGTCGTATTTTTCAATTTTAAAGGCAAAATAGTCTTCGGAGACCCCCTGGCCTCAAACTCCGACCCCCCCTTGGGAGGGAAAGTTTGCCTCCAAAAACACCCCAAATGAGGGGGACCCCAGCCAGGATCGGCCCGGGTCCCTATTAAAAATGCGATTCTTTAGTACTGAAATCGACGGTTCTGGGTGGCCTCGTTTTCTGGGTTTTTGACCACGAGCCTTCACCGATAGGGGCTTCTAATCCGTAGGGTTTAGGGCCCTAAGCATAAAGGGCCTGTTGTGGGCCTTAGATTAGATTTCGGGTTTTGGGTCCGTTAAAAACTAACTACTGGGAATGTATTGAGTGAACTTTGTATTTTCTCAATGTTATGGGTTTCTTGGGTGGGTGGGTTTTTTTCCAACGCTTGACAAGCTGCTTGACTAGTGAATGCTCGGACTTGAGATGCAGAACCCTAAACCCTAAACCCTAAACCCTAAACCCTAAACCCTAAACCCTAAACCCTAAACCCTGAACCCTGCACTCCGGTGTAGATGAGCAGCGGAGGCTTGAGCCCCAGCAGTGCGGCGTCGCAGATCGCGGAGTCCAAATGCTTGACCACCTGATCTTCGCAGGGCTTGGGGTTTAGGGTTTAGGGTTTAAGGGTTTAGGGTTTAGGGTTTAGGGATGTTTAGGGTTTAGGGTTTAGGGTTTAGTGTCGTAGGGTGGTAGGCACAGTTCGTTTTACTTGAGCGAACTAAACAACTCATGGCAGAATTAAACCAAGCTGCCGTCGCCCGAGCTTCTTCATGAAACCGGACTGCCAGCGTCATATCCTCGGTGGAACTGAGTCACCTCTCAATACTGCCAGAAAAATCTCTCGGCATCCCTCGGCACACCGAAAACCCGTCTCAAAACGAACCTGAGGTGGCCACGGTGTGGTTGTAAAGTCGGAGGGCGGGCGCGAGCAAAAGGAGCCGATGATCTGGCTGAGGCGTCAGAAGCTGGGCAACCACATTTCCTCAGCCAAGCGCTATAGCGCTCGAAAAGACGGATGCATGCTGGAGACTCTCTGGTTCGTTCCCCTGTTGTAGGGTTCTTACGGGAGGGGGGGTCCCCGCTACTCCCTAAGGCTCACTAACTTCCCTAAGCTTCCCTACTCCTCCCCTGAGGGCCCTATGCAACCCGTTTTTGGGACGAGGAGCCTGGACAGTCTGGCACCACGACGGCCGCATTCTGCTCGAACCAAAGTGGCTCTGAGGTCTTCTCGGAGCCAAGGACTCGAACCCGCAGGCTTCGCCTGACAGACAGCTGCGCAACATCTCAGCGCCAGTGAAACCCACGCTGCGTTGTCGAGCACATATATATCCGCCGACCCGAGCTTTGAGCGGGGGAGGCGCTAGTGAAGACCCATAGTCTTGCCCCCCCCCGCCCCCCCCCGCTCCCCTCGCCCTTCCCACCCCACTCCTGCCCACCCCTCCCGCTGCCTTGCTGTTAGAATGGAGTGTTTTCAAGGGCTCCAGTGCATGCCCGAACCCTCCCTTTGCTGCCCCCGCCCCCCCCGCCCCCCCCGCTGCCCCCGCTCCCCCCGCCCTTCCCACCCCCGCCGACCCCCTCCACTGCCTTGCTGTCAAACTGGCGTGTTTTAAGGGCTCCAGTGCATGCCCCACTCCTGCCCACCCCTCCCGCTGCCTTGCTGTTAGAATGGAGTGTTTTAAGGGCTCCAGTGCATGCCCGAGCCCTCCCTTCGCTGCCCCCCCCCCCCCCCCCCCCCCCCCCCCCCCCCCCCCCCCCCCCCCCCCCCCCGCCGACCCCCTCCGCTGCCTTGCTGTCAGACTGGCGTGTTTTTTGGGGGTTTAGTGCATGCCCCACTCCTGCCCACCCCTCCCGCTGCCTTGCTGTTAGAATGGAGTGTTTTTAAGGGCTCCAGTGCATGCCCGAGCCCTCCCTTCGCTGCCCCCGCCCCCCCCGCTCCCCCCGCTCCCCCCGCCCTTCCCACCCCTGCTGTTAGAATGGAGTGTTTTCAAGGGCTCCAGTGCATGCCCGAACCCTCCCTTCGCTGCCCCCGCCCGCTGCCCCCGCTCCCCCCGCCCTTCCCACCCCCGCCGACCCCCTCCACTGCCTTGCTGTCAAACTGGCGTGTTTTAAGGGCTCCAGTGCATGCCCCACTCCTCACCCCTCCCGCTGCCTTGCGTTTTAAGGGCTTGAGTGCATGCCCGAGCCCTCCCCTCCCCCCCCCCCCCCCCCCCCCCCCCCCCCCCCCCCCCCCCCCCCCCCCCCCCCCGCCGCCCCCCTCCGCTGCCTTGCTGTCAGATTGGCGTGTTTTAAGGGGTTTAGTGCATGCCCCACTCCTGCCCACCCCTCCCGCTGCCTTGCTGTTAGAATGGAGTGTTTGGGCTCCAGTGCATGCCCGAGCCCTCCCTTCGCTGCCCCCGCCCCCCCCGCCCCCCCCGCCCTTCCCACCCCCCCTCCCGCTGCCTTGCTCCCCTCGCCCTTGCCACCCCACTCCTGCCCACCCCCTGTTGGCTTGCTGATAGTGTTTTCAAGGGCTCCAGTCCATGCCCGAGCCCTCCCTTCGCTGCCCCCGCCCCCCCCGCCCCCCCCGCTGCCCCCGCTCCCCCCGCCCTTCCCACCCCCGCCGACCCCCTCCACTGCCTTGCTGTCAAACTGGCGTGTTTTCAGGGCTCCAGTGCATGCCGCTGCCTTGCTGTTAGAATGGAGTGTTTTAAGGGCTCCAGTGCATGCCCGAGCCCTCCCTTCGCTGCCCCCGCCCCCCCCGCCCCCCCCGCTCCCCCCGCTCCCCCCCCGACCCCCTCCGCTGCCTTGCTGTCAGACTGGCGTGTTTTAAGGGGTTTAGTGCATGCCCCACTCCTGCCCACCCCTCCCGCTGCCTTGCTGTTAGAACGGAGTGTTTTTAAGGGCTCCAGTGCATGCCTGAGCCCTCCCTTCGCTGCCCCCGCCCCCCCCGCCCCCCCCGCCCCGCTCCCCCCGCTCCCCCCGCCCTTCCCACCCCCGCCGAGCCCTCCCTTCGCTGCCCCCTCCGCTGCCTTGCTGTCTGGCGTGTTTTAAGGGCTCCGGTGCACGCCCCACTCCTGCCCACCCCTCCCGCTGCCTTGCTGTTAGAATGAAGTGTTTTTAAGGGCTCCAGTGCATGCCCAAGCCCTCCCTTCGCTGCCCCCGCCCCCCCCGCCCCCCCCGCTCCCCCGCTCCCCCCGCCCTGCCCACACCCGCCGACCCCCTCCGCTGCCTTGCTGTCACACTGGCGTGTTTTAAGGGCTCCAGTGCATGCCCACTCCTGCCCACCCCTTCCGCTGCCTTGCTGTGCTTTGCTGTTAGAATGGAGTGTTTTTAAGGGCTCCAGTGCATGCCCGAGCCCTCCCTTCGCTGCCCCCGCCCCCCCCCCGCCCCCCCCGCCCCCCCCGCTCCCCCCGCTCCCCCCGCCCTTCTCACCCCCGCCGACCCCCTCCGCTGCCTGCTGTCAGACTGGCGTGTTTTAAGGGCTCCAATGCATGCCCCACTCCTGCCCACCCCTCCCGCTGCCTTGCTGTTAGAATGGAGTGTTTTCAGACTGGCGTGTTTTAATGGCTCCAGCGCATGCCCCACTCCTGCCCACCCCTCCCGCTGCCTTGCTGTTAGAATGGAGTGTTTTTAAGGGCTTAAGTGCATGCCCGAGCCCTCCCTTCGCTGCCCCCGCCTCCCCCGCCCCCCCCGCTCCCCCCGCTCCCCCCGCCCTTCCCACCCCCGCCGAGCTGCCTTGCTGTCAGACTGGCGTGTTTTAAGGGCTCCAGTGCATGCCCCACTCCTGCCCACCCCTCCCGCTGCCTTGGGCTCCCGAGCCCTCCCTTCGCTGCCCCCGCCCCCCCCCCGGCCCCTGCCCTTCCCACCCCCGCCGACCCCCTCCGCTGCCTTGCTGTCAGACTGGCGTGTTTTAAGGGGTTTAGTGCATGCCCCACTCCTGCCCACCCCTCCCGCTGCCTTGCTGTTAGAATGGAGTGTTTTTAAGGGCTCGAGTGCATGCCCGAGCCCTCCCTTCGCTGCCCCCCCCCCCCCCCCCCCCCCCCCCCCCCCCCCCCCCCCCCCCCCCCCCCCCCCCCCCCGCCCCCCCCCGCCGACCCCCTCCGCTGCCTTGCTGTCAGACTGGCGTGTTTTAAGGGGTTTAGTGCATGCCCCACTCCTGCCCACCCCTCCCGCTGCCTTGCTGTTAGAATGGAGTGTTTTTAAGGGCTCCAGCGCATGCCCGAGCCCTCCCTTCACTGCCCCCGCCCCCCCCGCCCCCCCCGCTCCCGCCGCTCCCCCCGCCCTTCCCACCCCCCCTCCCGCTGCCTTGCTGTTAGAATGGAGTGTTTTCAAGGGCTCCAGTGCATGCCCGAACCCTCCCTTTGCTGCCCCCGCCCCCCCCGCCCCCCCCACTGCCCCCGCTCCCCCCGCCCTTCCCACCCCCGCCGACCCCCTCCGCTGCCTTGCTGTCAAACTGGCGTGTTTTAAGGGCTCCAGTGCATGCCCCACTCCTGCCCACCCCTCCCGCTGCCTTGCTGTTAGAATGGAGTGTTTTAAGGGCTCCAGTGCATGCCCGAGCCCTCCCTTCGCTGCCCCCGCCCCCCCCGCCCCCCCCGCTCCCCCCCCCGACCCCCTCCGCTGCCTTGCTGTCAGACTGGCGTGTTTTAAGGGGTTTAGTGCCCCACTCCTGCCCACCCTTTCCGCTGCCTTGCTGTTAGAATGGAGTGTTTTTAAGGGCTCCAGTGCATGCCCGAGCCCTCCCTTCGCTGCCCCCGGCCCCCCCCGCCCCCCCCGCTCCCCCCGCTCCCCCCGCCCTTCCCACCCCCGCCGAGCCCTCCTTTCGCTGCCCCTTCCGCTGCCTTGCTGTCAGACTGGCGTGTTTTAAGGGCTCCAGTGCATGCCCCACTCCTGCCCACCCCTCCCGCTGCCTTGCTGTTAGAATGAAGTGTTTTTAAGGGCTCCAGTGCATGCCCAAGCCCTGCCCCCGCCCCCCCCGCCCCCCCCGCCCCCCCCGCTCCCCCGCTCCCCCCGCCCTTCCCACCCCCGCCGACCCCCTCCGCTGCCTTGCTGTCACACTGGCGTGTTTTAAGGGCTCCAGTGCATGCCCCACTCCTGCCCACCCCTTCCGCTGCCTTGCTGTGCTTTGCTGTTAGAATGGAGTGTTTTTAAGGGCTCCAGTGCATGCCCGAGCCCTCCCTTCGCTGCCCCCGCCCCCCCCCCGCCCCCCCCGCCCCCCCCGCTCCCCCCGCTCCCCCCGCCCTTCTCACCCCCGCCGACCCCCTCCGCTGCCTGCTGTCAGACTGGCGTGTTTTAAGGGCTCCAATGCATGCCCCACTCCTGCCCACCCCTCCCGCTGCCTTGCTGTTAGAATGGAGTGTTTTCAGACTGGCGTGTTTTAATGGCTCCAGCGCATGCCCCACTCCTGCCCACCCCTCCCGCTGCCTTGCTGTTAGAATGGAGTGTTTTTAAGGGCTTAAGTGCATGCCCGAGCCCTCCCTTCGCTGCCCCCGCCTCCCCCGCCCCCCCCGCTCCCCCCGCTCCCCCCGCCCTTCCCACCCCCGCCGAGCTGCCTTGCTGTCAGACTGGCGTGTTTTAAGGGCTCCAGTGCATGCCCCACTCCTGCCCACCCCTCCCGCTGCCTTGGGCTCCAGTGCATGCCCTTCACTGCCCCCGCCCCCCCCCCGGCCCCTGCCCTTCCCACCCCCGCCGACCCCCTCCGCTGCCTTGCTGTCAGACTGGCGTGTTTTGAGGGGTTTAGTGCATGCCCCACTCCTGCCCACCCCTCCCGCTGCCTTGCTGTTTGGTTGGAGTGTTTTTAAGGGCTCCAGTGCATGCCCGAGCCCTCCCTTCGCTGCCCCCGCCCCCCCCGCCCCCCCCGCTCCCCCCGCCCTTCCCACCCCCGCCGAGCCCTCCTTTCGCTGCCCCTTCCGCTGCCTTGCTGTCAGACTGGCGTGTTTTAAGGGCTCCAGTGCATGCCCCACTCCTGCCCACCCCTTGCTGTTAGAATGGAGTGTTTTCAAGGGCTCCAGTGCATGCCCGAGCCCTCCCTTCGCTGCCCCCGCCCCCCCCGCCCCCCCCGCTGCCCCCGCTCCCCCCGCCCTTCCCACCCCCGCCGACCCCCTCCGCTGCCTTGCTGTCAAACTGGCGTGTTTTAAGGGCTCCAGTGCATGCCCCACTCCTGCCCACCCCTCCCGCTGCCTTGCTGTTTTTTTTGTAGAATGGAGTGTTTTAAGAGCTC